TGGCAATGTCGTACATGGCAATGTCGTACATGGCAATGTCGTACATGGCAATGTCGTACATGGCAATGTCGTACATGGCAATGTCGTACATGGCAATGTCGTACATGGCAATGTCGTACATGGCAATGTCATGGATACGGTGGATTATATTTCGGTTTACTGTTTTCACTTGTCACGGGATCATCGATGGAAACCGCACTTACTTCCACCGTCTCTTTTTGGGTATGAAATGCTAGCAAAGGAGTCGAAATCGCCATATCTTTAATGGATTCGCAAACGCGCCTGCCAATTTTTCCGCGAAAGCTGCTTGCATTTATCAACTCGGCAGACATTTCACGGGCCATTCGACATCGAATCCGAAATAACGGTTCTAATTAATTATTCGTGCCAATTACACCTCCCCCCCCAACTAAAAATTTGCGAAGTGCCATTGGTTTTGATTCTGCGAGGAAATTTACAACGGGGAAATATATGTAAACCGGCTTGCGGCAGCTAGAGAGAATTTGGCAAATTTGCACAAATTTCATGTCTCCATCGAATCGGCATCCTTTGGCTGATTCAAGAGAAATAATCGCTGCATTACTCCCTTGCCATTCAAGATTAATCGCGGATTGAACCGGATTTGGCACACGCCAAGTGAAGATTTGGCTTGCACCCCGCGATAATTTGGCAATACAATCGCTTAACCTTGCTCTACCAGCAACTTTTATTTATGTTCTTTATACGTTATACGCGATTGAGAAAAATCATGATACAAAAGTAAAATTGGCATTAAGCATAAAATTGGCATTAAGCATAAAATTGGCTCTTTCTACATATCCTGAATGGATATTGACATTTTAAAATCTTCATGATATATTTTAGGGATTATTAATTGTAATATAATGATTACCCTTGTCGGTCGAAACCACTCCCTTATCCCCGCCCCGCCCCCTTGGTCATGTAATGGTTAATCTGCCGCGATGGGCTAATACTTAGCGATACCGATCGGCGACATTCCAAGGACTCTTTGCCAAATGCATGGGAAAGGGCGGAGTCGATTCCGTTAAAAATTAAATGTCGCTTGTCGATGCAGGCATTCCCGCGCTCCGACACAATATTGCCTGGCAATATTGCATGCCGCGGATCCCAGCCCGCCCTCCCTTCGAGTCGAGGTCGAATCGGTAAGTGTCAGCGAATGAAGTCGGTTCAAGCCGGCTTCGGGGGCCGTCACCGACGCATGCAAGGGACAATGTTATCAATATTATCAATAATGCGGTTGGCGATAAAATATTATAATGAGTATCACGTCGTTGTAATTATCACATTATCATGAGTATGATATTGTAATAAGTTTCATATAAATATAAAAATATTAATTATGATACAATCATTATAACAATAATTAGTATACCGCGATTATCAAATCATAATGAGTATTACGATTAAAATATCATCATGATGACCATGATTATAATTTCAAAATTTGCAAGATTTAGTATGAGTTCAGGCGAGACGATGGCGATTGCCCTCGCCAGGGATGGCGGATTGACATGCACTTAGTGCCACCCTCGTGCTTTCATGCCATCCTCGACGTCCCTCGATCGCGCGCGGACGTCCTCAACGGCACTGCTCTTTAGGATCGATTCGATCCTAAAAGCTGAGCCATCATTCCATTCGCTCCTTCGCCGCTCGGAGCCGCCTTCCTTTCTCCGTGCCGTGTTTACCTTTTCATTCCCTTCCACGTATTCGCTCCGCCGGAATGTCGATTCCTCGCCGTAGAGCTCCACGTAGCTCACCATGGCGACGGGAGCAGCATTTGCTTCCCCTCGGTCGGTGACCCGGGCGATTTGGCCATTACAACGCCGACTTTGGCCATTACAACGGCGACTTTGGCCATTACAACGGCGACTTTGGCCATTACAACGCCGACTTTGGCCATTGCGGGTAACAAAAGCGCGTTAATTCGAACGCCTGGTCATTTCGCGGACCTTGGTTTGGCGCTGCAACTCTTAATTCAAATTTTTTGCTTATTTCTTGAGATGAAATCCCGGTATTTCATAATTTAAAAAAAATGTGGATATTAGTATTGCAAGAATAAATATAATCTAAATTCCTATTGTAAGGAATACACATTTGTATACTCAGTGAATTAATGCTTATCGTCGTCGAAGATATATTTCAAACAATATTTACATTAAATTTTTTACTATAAAATTATAAAATTTTTCAATTTCTTAAAGTATATTGTATAAGTTAAGGATAATATATTAATATGATTTTAATATTCACTTGTTCCATTTTAGCGGAAAGAAAAAAAAAGTTTCACGTCGACGGAGTTCCCTTGGGTTTCTCGGATTAAACCAAATTAAAATAATATTTTTTTGTGAAACAGTCTTGGAAACACGTTGCGCTCCCATTGAGTCCCGCTCCCATTGAGAAGCCCTTTCCGAAAGTCCCTTAGTCGTCCTGAGTATTTTCAAGACGTGCCGCAAAAGTCTAAACAACGGGTTGACCGTTTAAACTTTCTGACTTTTCCTGATTTCAGCATCTCTCAGCTCATTTCAGCATCTCTAAGCTCATTTCAGCATCTCTAAGCTCATTTCAGCATCTCGAAATCAGCATCTCACTCTTCGGCGTTTTTTCCCTTGACTTTGATTCCCTCCTTGATTTATCTCATTCTATTATTATTGTATGTTAATATTAATATTTATAGTTCGATTTCCGCCATCTCTATTCACTTCTTTTCGATTTGATTCCTATTCACCTTAATTTTTCCTTTTCCCCTTTTATTCTCCCCGGATTTTCCCCACGCCCCTTCCGCCCCTAAAAGTCAGTGCAAGCGATTCGGAGAACCCTCCTTGAAGTGAAGAACGCCTTCCTACAACCTCCCTTACAATCTTCCTTACAACCTTCCTTACAACCTCCCTTGTATCCTCCCAAACAACACCTCAATCACCCTCTCATTCACCCTCTCAAAGACCCTTTCATTCCCCCATTTCGCTCAATTGCCCTTGTGATAGCACCGCCTTTCCGTTCGATTAAACGCCACTAAACCCTGGAGACACGGAAAAGGCCGCCGAAAAACAGCCTCACCCTCCACTTCCGACAGCAGCCATCGAACGATCCTCTTCCGCTGGCCGAGCGATCCTCTTCCGCTGACGCCCACGATGCCGTTGAAGGACGCTGGCCAGAGCGGTTTCCCTCCCGCCACCTTCCAGGCACGAGGTCCAAACCTCGACTGGAAGGGGCCCACGTGTTCCCATCGATAAAATATGCAACTTCAGCGCGGAAAAAATCGATGGTAGCCTTAGGAACGGTCGGTTCTCCCTGTTCCTCGAAAAACTTGGCAGGGTTGTCGGATGTCAGATTTATAGTCCCTAGGCAAAACATCATCAAAACTAGCTGAGATGTTGCCTATTATAAAAATTTATTAAATTTTTATTTTTTATTTTTTAAAATGTTGGGAATAAGGGAATCGAGTTTTTGGAGAACCTCTTTTTCCTGCGAACGATCACGCGCAGTCCTCACGTCCAGTTCCAAGGGGGAATTGCCCCACGAGACGGTGATCAATCTCGGCTGACAAGAATCGATATCCTTAATGTTCTCTTCAGTTGGCTCGGTGCCTCTCTGCTCCCATCGAACGTCACCGCCGGAGCCAGCTCTTTTTTAAATATATATTATTATATATATATGTTGTATAGTTTTTCTTAGAAGTGGACGTACCCGTGAACATTTTTGAAATTCCTGAGAATCCCCCTTGTTGACTTGCTGTGGGAGCATGACCATGAACAGTTGGAAATTAATAAATTGGCTGGTCGTGAGGAAATGCTAAATAAATTCACTGGTTTTTGGAAGCGGAAAATGGCAGGAGAAACAATTTTCAATGTTTTTCAAAAATCTACATATTTTTTCAGTTGGAGTAGACATTTTCCTGGTTTCGCAAATGATGCCATCTAAGTCCTTTCTCCAATATTTTTTTTTTCAAATTAAAATTAGATTTTGACGGATTGACCCAGGAACAGGTCCACGGGACCCAAAACGAACCAGGAGTCGCGAATCGGACAACCCTGCTGGCATTGCGCCACAACCACATGTTTCCTTAATAAGAAAAGTGATTCCCGCTCAATGCGGCTCAAGGCCGGAAAGCATCATTCACTTCGCGCTGAGACCCCTCCCCTATCCAGCTCGGCCCCCTCCCACACCAAGCTGGGCCCCCTCCCATACCCAGATGGACTTCTTTCCCACCCAGTTGGGCTCCCTTCTTCCCAGCTGGCCCCCCTTACCCACCCAGTTAAGCTCCCTCCTTCCCAGCTGGCCCCCCTACCCACCCAGTTGGGCTCCCTCCTTCCCAGCTCCTCTACTACTGCTACTAAGAGAAAGTACTTCAACTCTAAATATTCTGCAAAAATATGTATGGGTAAATATTTTAATAATTTCATGACGCAGGCAGAATTAATTTAACATTTCATGGATCATGACAATGACATGGCTTGATGAAATCAAATAAATTATTGGGGTATTATATCTTTATGATAATGAAATAAACACTAGTAAATTACAAGCAAAACTAATTTTTTTTCATCCAGATAGCAAACAAATTTTGATATCCAGCAAATGGAAGAATTTTCATATTAATATCATAATTAAAATGTTGCTCATTTAGAGAATCGCTCTCCTCGTCTTATTATCGCCTTTTCAAATAATTATTTGCATTTAATACTTATTTATACATAATATTTGTAAATGTAATATATATTTTTTATCATTTTATTTCATGTATTTAACATGTACTTAAATATATTAAATCAATACATATTTATTTATTCCCAGGATACGCACCAGCCAAATATTAAATTTCCAAGAGGAAAAAAGTTGGTGTCTCTCAGAGAGCGAAAAATCAATGAGATGAAGCGAGATTTTAAATTTCTAAGAGCCGGATTTATTTGCCATTAATGAGGTCGCGTAAATGTTTTAATCGTTAATTATTTAAAACTTCGGTCGGGTATTTCTGGGAAGAAGCGATCTGTGGTACCTTTTTTTCTCTATGCATATCGTATCGAAACCTACCTTTTCGAAGCTGGTATTCAGATGAATTAAATCTTTGGGGGACTTAGAGATGAAGTGATTTAAATCCATTTCGGAAATTTCATCATGTATTCCTTTTTCGATTTCACGATTACGTACTGTAGAGGAAAAAAATGTTGATGAATTCATGGTCCAGCTCCTTGAAACCGCGAAATTATGAACCCGCGAAAAAATTGTTATTAGTAATTTTCACCGTGATTCCTTGCCCCCCCCCCCCAACCACGACCACAGCCCCATCTCGAAATTTGCTTTTCATTTCTTGAGGGCGAGAGTAGCT